TTCTGATTTCCTCTATCTGATGCCTTTCCGATCGACACACTAAAAACAGGAATTTGACTTTCGGTCAATCGATTTCCAACACAACCCTATTGACGTCAGGTTACGGTACCCCTTGCCCGGTATTGAAAGCATTCGTTCGCTTAGTTGAGTAACACCATCTGTTCCCTAAATAGTGCCCCTATATAGGGCCCAATTCACAGGCCAGTGCGAGAGATTTGGCCCATGTTCTTGTTCCCCTTCTTGTGTATGTGAAGGGGGCTGTTGCAAAACAAGCACCTGTCCCCCCACATCTCGGTCCCTGATCTCGTCAAGAAACAACCCGGAAACGGAGATATTTTCGGGGCGCTATATAACCACAGCGGTCTAAATTGGGCGCGAAAATTTCAGAATTAATGTAAGTATACGGTAACAAAAGTGAGAAATCTTAAATTCCCAAAGGTCCACCACCTAAATAAAATAAAATCTGAATCTGAAAACCTTGAGATCCTAGTGTCCTCAAGCCCTTAGAGGGGCGATCAAACTTCTCTCGGTGCTGTAAGGGCGAGATCCTAGGCGTCATTTCCGCAACTCGTAGCTGTCGACACCCAGTCGACGGAATAGGTCGATTTTGGCGCTTCCTAATCCCTTTAAGACGCTGCTAATTGAATTTTCGGAATTGGTGTCGCGTGAATTCCGAATGGCACTTGCTGTTTTGTATTTATTTGCATTCTCGCAATACGTTCTCTCTCTGACTCTCTTTCTATCTCTCTCCTTCGCTATCTCTCTCTCTCTCTCTCTCTCTCCTCTCACTCACTCATTCTATTTTTTTCTGATTTTTAGGAGAATAATATTCGTCCCTAACGTTGGAGTAAAAAACCTTACGCAACCTCGAAAACCGCCAAAGCGTGTCGGTGCTCAAACAGATTAGAAAGCCAATGGCAATTTACCCCTTCATGCTATTCACCCATTGAATAGAATTGTAAGAGGGAAAGGGTTGCCGCCCGTTTGGCACCTTCTCAACATCCTCCGCGAATTTGGCACCTCGACTCGGGAGGGCCAGGGAGGGCAGGGGGCACCTGGCCATCCTTAAAGTGGTCGGCCGACAGTGTCTGGCGCCGGTTTTCTATGGCTCGTATACTCGAGTTTACACGGATGGCCACGCCGCAAAAATTCTGTAGCGAAAACAGAATTTAAAGGCAGTCCAAAATTTACCTTAGCACCGTAATCTGATGTCGTCAAGTGAATCAGAAATACGACACGGCAGTGTCTTATAGGCAAAGCCTGATTTGTCTATCAGTTTTAAAAATTTGTCCAGCAGTGAACTCATGGATTTTGGCAAAGCTCCAGAGCTTGAAAGACTCGGTCCATGGGTTTAATGGATCTGTAAAAAACGACGGTTTATGAGCATTGCAAGGACCGGAGGAGAGAATTGCAAATTGTCTTTTTAGGGTCCCAGTCCCTTTTAAAAAATCGACGACGATCAGGTTGGCACCTCTTTGCCGATTGGTTTATCTCTCACCTAGCACCTGCCCCAAATCCGAAACTACGGTGCCTTCCAGCAATCGTTTTTCAAAGGCAACCGTCTTTGGCGTGTCCCGAAAAGGTATATGGCGTCACAACCCACTTACCGAATTATCGGGGGAGACTGTAGCGAGAGAGAGAGAGAGAGAGAGAGAGAGAGAGAGATAGGTAGCTGCTAGAGGAATGTACGCAAAGAAATACAACGCTATGCTTGGGGGATTATTTTCTCAAAGGTGGGCCGGGGGAGGTGGAGACAGGTGCATCTCGGAATGGATACGGTAGCAGCGATTCGGCGACCATTGAAATATGATATCGTAAACTATGGTTGCCATCACTACAAAAAACTTTTAACCCTTTGAATAGGGGGATGAGGTTTCCGATCGGCTACTTCTTTACGGAGCCAAGTAAAGGGATTAGGAAGTGAGTAGCTATAGGGCAAAGAGTTTCTGCTAGCTTGCCGGCCGCCATTTTGGGTTTTTTTTTTTGAAAGAACCACTAAAGGACCTGGCAAGTCGCAATCCATAGGTCAAAGGTTAATAATAATAATTTATTCAACACTAAGGTTTCGATGAGAAACGCTTAAAAGTTAGCTAGCTAGTCTCTGTTAGCTTGCTTGCTTGTTAGCGAGTGCCAAGAAATTAATTCTATTCCTAAAGATTCACTGCTAGTTTACTGATTCCTAAATAATCTCTGCTAGCCAGCGAATTCAAATTCAGTTCAAATATATGGCAAACATTCTAAATTCTCAAAAATCCCAGTTAGCTTGCCCGAAAGTTTCCAAAATATTGTGTTTTTGATTAAAAGTTGCAAAACAAGCAATTTATTCAACAAAATGCAATCACAATGTATCAAATAATTCGAAGCTCTAGCAAAAAATACACAAAAAATAAATACAACAATAATGAAAAAACTGAGAAAAATGCACAGAATAAATAAACGCAAATAATATCGAAATTGGCCCGGTTTCGGGGGACCCGTAGCTGCTCGGAGATGGATGCGAGGACTTGTGAGTTCAAGAAGCTCAGGAAATTGATAAATGCAAATGAAGAATTGGACAGTTTTTTGGAGTTTGTAGCCTATCACACCAGTCAATAAATAAGTAAATGCAGAAATGCCATGAAAGGCTTGAAAAATGAGAAGTTCACGAGGATTCGGGGGGTAAAAAGGCGAGCACTGACTAAAGAGGGGCTTTAAATCGATAATATAACAATTTAATGAGTTTAATAAATGGTATAAAAAACTCAGAAAAATAGAAGAGGACTAGTTAAAGTAGGCAAACTTTATAAAATATTACTTACAAAAAATCCACAGCGGAAAACGGATTTTTCACGAAATTTTCGGGTTTTTCGGATCAAGTTATGATTGTCCGGCGTTAAGAGATTGTAGATGTAAATGATGAAGGTATAGCCGGGCCAGCTCGTCCTGACCAACCGTCAATAACCCGGGTTGGACCATCGACGGCGTGCCATTAATGCTTGGAGGTGGCGGGAACGAGGGGAATTGAGCGGGGTGGATGGGGGCGAGGCCGGGAGGGAATTGGAATGGTAGAGGCATGAAGGGGGACGCGTACATCTGAAAAATGAAAGATTGATATCGAAAACCAGGTTACTTAACTAACAATAAACTTTTACGAGGCTCAAACTTTTTAAAGGGCCTGGCAAGCGCAAAAATCCGTTAATAAAGACGCGTAAAAATTTATTACGTTGCGAATTGAATCGATAACACTAGTTTATCAATTTTGATTGTAAATTGCGAATTTGCCTTACAAACCTGTCTCTGAATCTGATGAAAATCGGGCATCCTTGGCCGCTGCGATGGTCTTCTCCTCAATTTTCCACCGGAACCACCGATAAAAACTTCTTCGGCCATTGTAGCGTCCAGCATCCAGTAGCAGCCTGCAAATTGTGGATAAGTTACCGTGTTCAAATGCTCAAATTTCTGCGTTTTTTAGCCTTGCCACGATACCCAAATCTCTAAACACCTAAGCTTTATCTTTGTGTGTGTTTATGCTCTAACCCCAAAATATCGACTTTTTTTCGTCCAAAATATTTGGGATCTGAACTTTGCAGCTGCCAACGAGTCTCCAAGTCGACTAGCCTGATTTCTCTTCCGGGACCAATTATGCGTGGCTTGGCTGCTGCAGGATGAAAAAAAATACTCGGTCTACAAACTTTCCGAGGCACTACCGGGATACGGCAGGTGGTACGCTATATATGGAAAAAGATGGAAAAATAATGAGCGGGTTCTTGGAATCGGAATGAGTAGTTAAAGTACAGGAGGTAGCGAATCAGAGATCTGGGTCGAACTGTGCTTGTTAGCGTGGTAATTTTCAAAGCAAAACTTGTTATTCATCTTGTCTCTCTCTCTCTCTCTTTCTCCCCTCGCTTTCTCTCTCTCTCTCTTTCTCCCTCTCTCTTTCCTCTCTCTCTCTCTCTCTTTCTCTCTCTCTCTCTCTCTCTCTCTCTCTCTCCCCCTCTTCTCTCTCTCTCGCTCTCTCTCTCGCTCTCTCGTTCTCTAATTCCTTAAAAAACCCTGCGGCCACCTTCCCAATACCCCAAGGCATGACACCCCCATTCTGCAATCCGAGAAAACATAATGTCCAAACAATGGACACCCGTTGATGGGTTGCCCCCTCTAGGTATCCAGATATACCCCCAGGATATTATGCTTTCAAATGATCGTGTGAAACGGACCCGTTAGCACTTTTTAGACAGTGGAGGGTATTATCGGGCAGGTGGTGGTCGAGTAAAGAAACGAGGTGGTAGGGTAAATATTGGAATCTGAGGGGATCTGGCCAGTTTGAAAAATCAAGGGGACAGAGAGAGATAACGAATGAGCAAGATTGAGAGAGACGGAGAGACAGAGAGGGTGGGAAAGATAAAGAGAGAGTTAAAGCCGACGAGAAACAGCCATTTTGAGCTCTAGCTAGCAGCATGTTGGGCAAGGTGTCGATTAAGTTCTGTCATCGAAATTCACAATTTGCCTCCAGCTAAAGTAACGTAACGCCTACAAAATGACAAAAAATGATATATCGGTGAACGAATTATCTTGAAAAAGCGAGGCTTATCGTAATCTGCCGTAGTCCAAAGCACCCCGAATAAAATACCCACCTTTTCCCGGATCGTCAAAGTTCCTGGGGACCTTGACGAAGCACTTGTTCAGCGACAAATTATGGCGGATCGAGTTTTGCCAATTGGGTTTTTGGGAAGAGTCACGGTAGAAGGGGTACTTGTCCATGATGTATTGGTAGATGCCCGACAAGGTCAAACTAGAAATAAAAAAATTAATATTATTCGGCTCTGCAAAAATAGTAAAAATATTTTCAAGCCCGAAAATACGGAAAAACTTTTTTTAAACGTACAGAGCACTTTTTTTAAAGCCAAGCTAGCAGAGAGCATTGGAAAAAATGAAAATTCAGGGAAAATCAGCTAGTTTATCATGACTTTGCTTACCACGACTTCTAGGCCAGGGCAAGCTAGCTAACACCCTTCATCCACCTACCGTTTTTCCGGACTATTCCGTATCGCCAACATTATCAACGAGTTGTAGCTGAGGTTTGGCTTTTTCGGAGACCCGGAGTCACTCTGGAACGGAGCTTGGTTTTACGATGATCCGGATTTTTGGTACCTGATCAGGTCCGGATTCCGGAGACGTTTGAGGGGACGAATCGTCTGGGGTTCCGGAAACTGGTGGGGTTCCAGAATCTTCGGTGACGTGGCTGGCCATCGAGTCCTCCAGGTTCTCGTCGTCTTCCAGGACGTCGATCTCGAGCTTGAGGTCATTTTCTGAAAATTTAAGGTAATGATTTTATTTTTTTAAGTGTATTTCATTGTTTTCTAATCGATTGATCTAATTACTATTTTGTTCAGCTATATAAATTACTTTTACAAAGTTTAAGGCATTGATTTAAGCGAAAAATTATCCTAAAAGTGTCTAAAAGAACAATTTTACCAATTTGTAATACTTTAAGCTATTTACAATTTAAATTAATGTGAGTATTTCTCGAAAATTTATTAAGTAATCTTAAGGACGTTATAATGATAGATTTAGATAGCAAATTAACGTAAAAATTGCCAAAATTGTGGGAAATTTGTAAGTTATTAATTTTCAAATAGTTTAATTGGTTTTCCGATACCTTTAGATTGTAAATTAGTCAATTTCACGTCCAGCTATGTTTACAACTGCTATACCCTGGGAATCAACCTGTCTAAAACCTGCTGTTTTGCCAACCCGAGGCCAGATGCTGGGCGCTACAGTACCCCGAGGGCACAGTGAAACAAAGCCCCGGGGGATGGTGGTCATAAATTAGGGGATGGACATGGCAATTTGGTCGTATTCTTAGGGAAATCATAGGAAAAAGAGATGCGTATCCATAAAAAACTAGAAAACCAATTCCCGGCACAAAAATCTAGAAAACCCGATTTAGTAAAAAAAAACTAAAAAAAAACTTCGGTATTTGACCCGAACGACCATCAAAATGCCTATTAAAATTCGATTTTTAAGTTTTGAAGACAAGAAAAACTATAGAAAAGATGCAGAAAATCCCAAAAAGCTATCAAGCACCCTATAATAAATTTCGATTTTGAGTTCTAAAAATGTGTAAAAAGACTACCGAAAATTAAGCATTACGCTCGAAAGTAGAGGTACTGTAGCAAGCGGAAGTCAGCGAAATGTAGTGGAATTAACAGGATAAAAATTTGGATGAAGGCAGGAAAGTCGAAAAGCGGATCGACAGACCAATTAAAAAAAATTCTAGGGACATCAATATTCAGAAAAGCAAAATTTTAGTTTTTTTTTGCTGGAAAAATGCGCAAAAACGGATCATTCCGGCATACTGTAGCGTCAAAACCTCAAAAATCAACCCACCATCCTCACTATGCGGCAACTGCACAGCACTCGTCGTCGGAAGGAGTACGGTATTGGCCAGGGTGTTGTTGTTTAGGCTTACTGCAGAGCCGAGCAGGTCGTGGATCGAGAATTTGGCCATGACAAATTGCCAGATTTTGTAGCCAAAAATCGGCTCGAAAACTGTGTCCAAACTCCGGTGGTAGATTCAGAATCACAGCCCTCGAATGACTTGTTTGTGGATAGGCGGGCGGTTGGGGGCTCAACATAGGAAAAGGGGGGCGGAGCCAGGCGCCTCTGGGTACCGTATCCCCCCGGGGTGGTGCCCTGGGGCTATGGACAGCTCTCCCCTTTCTCTCTCTCTCTCGGATTTTTAGTGACTACCACAGCTGCTCCCGTCTCATCCAAGAAATGGCGACCGATACAGCAGCACGACGGGCCAGTCAAAAGGGACACCCAAAATATTTGAAAGCCGATTCGGGGTTTGTTGGCCCCCAGGAGGGAAAGGGGAAGAAACTTCTTGGAAATTTGCTTTTAAAGGTATTCGGAACTCAGGAATAGCTTCAATATACCGTATTTAGCATTTTAACGGCACTATTAAAGAGAGAGAGAGAGAGAGAGAGAGAGAGAGAGAGAGAGAGAGAGAAAGGGAGAGAGAGAGAGAGTAGAGTTTCCTGGAGAGAGAGACCACCTGCGTAAAGGTACTGGAAGCCCAAGAATTGATTTCCTAGATCGTATTTTGGCTTTTAAAGGCACTATGAAGCAAGATAGAGCTGTCTCATTTAAAATTTATGACCGAAAAATTGCGTCACTACATCGAATTTGGCATTTTAAAGGCGCTGTGAATCAGCTACGACTTACCGAGAGTTTACCCATTTTAAAGGGACTACCAAGTAAAAAAAATTCCAATTCAAGTTGAGAACGCTAACTCCACATTTTTGGGCGTTTTCAGGGAGAAGATAACGTCATTTTTGCACGTTTAAGAATTCTTACTGATCCGTACGAATTGAAACTTAAAGGCTGATCTTCTCCCAGAATCCACAGCCAGAATTTTTTGGAAGCTTGCCGATACGCAAATTTGTATCAAAAAGAGGCTAAACCGGGAAGTTGCGACAAATCTGCGTGCCTTCCGGACCTTGCCATCTTTCTGACCGTTCAAATATCCCAGAGGCCACAAATCCCATGTAAATTTACATCCTGCCAATCGGGATTCAACCGGATGCGAGGCGTGAGACTCGCAGCCCGAGGGGCCTTGTTTATACACGGCAGATCGGGGCCCCGGGAATTAAGTGTTTTCGGGGAATTATCGCCGGCATTATGCGCCAGATTTCTCCCAGGCAGCGGGCACGGAATTGCTCAAACGATCGCTGCTAGCCTTCCTAATCTTGGCTTGGCTTAACAAAGGCTAAACTTGGTTCAAGAAAACGGAATTCCGCAATAATATCTGCTAGCCTACCCTGTACTGATGCACTGCATAAGCTCAAAAAGCTAATTCCTCATTGTTTTCCGTTACTATACTTTCTAGAAAAATTCTCAAGCACTGTCTGCAAGCCTGCTTTTCGATATAAAATTAAATCTCGAGCCGGGAAACCCGAATTCCTAAATTGTCTCTGCCAGTGCGCTTTTCATTACCTTCCCAACTTGTGTCTGCTAGCCTGCACTTCTAGAATCAAATCATGAAAATAGGATTCTGACAAATCCTAAAAGTTCTCTGCTAGCTGGCCCTTAGGCTTTGGTTCTAATAAGCAAATTCCTTACTGTTCTCCGCTTCACGCCAACCCATATTGAAATTCCTCAAAGTTCTCTGCTAGCCTGTCAATCTACTAAAATTGGTGAGGCTAGTTGGGGTTTCGGTCACGAGAAACCAAATTTCCAATTTTCTCTGCTAGCTTCGCCCTTTTCAAAGATCCTATATCTCCCTGCTAGTCTGCCAAGGGATCAGAATCCAACCCACCGGACCCGGAAATCAGTCGAGTGGGAGCAGTTGCAGGCTGCTAAGTTTAGCTAGATTCTCGAGATAACAGGTGGAAACATGTCTGTTTACCCCCACGAATTAATGAGTATATTGTTAGCAACCGGAAATTGGCGAGATTTGCAGTGTTTGGGCCGGGTGATTTTTGGATCATTAGCGACAAGGTTTTTTGCTGCAAAAACCAGAGTTACGAACTCGAGAAAAACTACAAAAAATTTAGTAACTAAAGCTAAACTACTAAAAATTTAAGAACAGACGACATATCATATTTAAAGACGCAAAACTACCGTATTCCTCAGAAATTACTAGACGCACTTTTTGACCCTTGTGGGATTAATATTATAAATCCCACCCCAGAAATCCGTAAGAATTTGTATCGTATCCCCGGGGGCATGAGTCGCTGTTATTTAACATCGATCTCGAAAGCCAATATAAACCAAAGCGAGAGAGAGAGAGAGAGAGAGCGAGAGAAAGAGAGAGAAAATGAAAAAGCGAGATTATCCTCTTTCACCCCCTGCTACTTTTTGTCAATAACAAAGGCTCAGCCCCAGTTATAACCAAAGACTTACAAAAGCTTCTAGACCATTATATTAAACGAATTCTTTGCAAAAAGACGATCTTAGGGATTGCCAGGAATTCCAGCAAGTTCAGCCGGCCGTTGTGGGTGGTCAGGTGGAATTTGGGGGATTTTGAGAAATTTTGACTTGACCAGAATTTCAGGGTGATTCAGATTCATTAAGCTTTCCTGAACATGCCGACAGCCAAGCCCTCGACAGGCTAAAAAGCCGACAGGGAAAAAGTCCGACAAAATTGTCAGATTAGTTTGATAAGCCTGTTAAACGGTCATTTTCCATGTCGGCATTTGGGTTGTCGAGATTTTGGCTGTCGGTATTATAGCTGTCGGGATTTTGAGCTGTCGGGATTTTGGCTTTTGGGATTTTGGTCTGCCTGGCTTTTAGTTGTCGGCATTTCAGCTGTCGGGATTATGGCTGTCTCGATTTGGCTGTCGGTATTTTAGCTGTCGGGATTCTGGCCGTCGGCATTTCCATCGTCGGGATTTTGGCTGTCGATTGTGGCTTTTGGAAATTTCCCTGTCGGCATTTCCATTGTCGGGTTTTTAACTTTGATTTTGGCTGTCGGCATTTACAGTCATGCGTTGGCTGTCGAGATTTTGTGTGTCGGGATTTCGCTGTCCTCGAGTTGGTTGTCGGCATTTCGATGTTTTTCACGGTGCGGGTGGCCAAAAGCGAGGATTTACGGGTCGTGTGCGCATACTCGTTTTTGCGGTTTTTGCAGAATAAAATTGACCTGTAAAATCACATCCGACAATCCCCTTAAAATCACGATTTCATCCCCTTCACGCCATAGTCACGCTATTTACAATTTTTTCTATTTTTCCACAGCAGTACAAAAGACACGCGGGGGTAAATCCCCCTACCTCAGAAGAAGTCATCATTCATCCACGATCCATCCACTCCATAACATTCCTGATGACGGAAATATATTTATTTTCACTCGCTCTCACAAATCCGACACTAATCCCCGGCCATGCCCCCAACACGACTCGCATTCGTCTAATTCGATGTTTGGCATCAAAAATGACCTACCGTAGCCACCCGGGAAAAGGGGTATTCGCGCGGAATATTGCTTTTTATAACACGGGGAAAATCCGGCCTAGGGTTTTTCGCGTTTGTCGGCTTCCCTGACGCCATATATTACCAAGATTACACGAGTTACCACCAACAGCCACAAGGCGAAAATAGGAAAAATTGGAAGGGTAGCGAAAGAGAGAGAGAGAGAGAGAGAGAGAGAGAGAGAGAGAGAGAGAGAGAGAAGAGAGAGAGAGAAAGAGAGAGAGAAGGGAGAGCGATGGAGAGAAAGAGAGAGATTTTTAATGAAAAGAGAAACCATAAAATCATGTAGCCCCTTTTCCAGCTTCAGGTTTCCGGGTGTTCTCAATGTAGCCCCACACGCCGGAACGAATCCGGAAAAACCGGCAGCGTAAACCTTGAAGCCCCGCGCGGTGCAGTAAATACAATTTTTGCCGGATCTTTGCGCACATTTTTAGAATTTTTAATATAAATTTTGGTAGGGCAAACTGGCAGAAATTCTTTGAAATATGTTCTTTCATTAATGCGCCTACGTTGGACCTTTAAACTCGAGATCAAGCATTACAACCGATTTTGAATTTTTAGGCGCTTAAAATTTTTTTAAGGCCAAACTATCAAAAATCTGAATTCCTCAATAATTCCCACTAGTCTGCCTTTCGAAATTTAATCCGCTCGCGGGATCTACTACGGTAGCCCCCAAAAAATCGCTAATTTTTGACCGACAGCCGGCCAAGGGAAGGGAGCACTTGTTGTGGGATTGTATGGAAACGGAGTCGGTGGCTGTTTCCAAAACGACCCCTGCTCAACTGCCATACCGCACACCCATCAACCAGCCGGATATGATTGACAGGGAGAAGCCGCAGAGGAGATCATATCGCTCCCTCCCCCTCTTTCTCTCCTCTCTCTCTCTCTCTCTCTCGCTTGCCCCGGACACATTACAATAATTGATCACCTTCTATACCTAAAGGCCGCTCTCCTCCTCTGAGAAGCCGCCAAACCACAATAGGGCCCCTTTCAGGTGCGTGAAAAGTTGAGAGGGAGATTCTATATAATTATTTGATAAGTTTTAACACCGAATTGATTAAAATTGTTTTAGCCTCATCGTCAGAAAAAAATGGAAAAACAGCGTCGAAAACGAAATCTTAAAATTCCATGGTCAGTTTATGAATTTTTGATCGGTTCAGCGGGATCTAAAATTGTTTTTGTTTATTCAATTATTTTGCTTTTCTCTTGATCGTAAGCATAAAATACGCTTAAAAATTTACCTGGAAATACTTTTTTTAATTTGCATTCATTTACAAATGAAATAAAGTAATATAGCATTTTTAAATGTTTGTCAGACTATTATAGATAATTATCGACAATTTATGCATAATATTTTTTTACGTCGTTATTATTTATTTAACTGTCGTTTTTACAAAAATGTTAGGAAGCCGCAGGTGAAGTTTGGGTAAATTATACCTAAAACTAATATTGACTCAATCATGAGATTCCTGAAGATTTCGGAATTTACTACCGTAATCCTTCCCATTAAGATCAAGGAGATATAACCATAAATATCCATAAATATCCATGTAACCTATCCACCCCCAATACTCACGATTTAGCGCCTAAAATGCCTCCAGGGCATTTTAGACAAATTCCATCAAGGGCATTCATGTCGGCATTTTTCAAAGGAAATCCCGACAAACCGGCCCGCCACCCGGGTAACAACAGGTGCCAAGTTTTTCCAGTCTGCTCTCTCTCTCTCTCTCTCTCTCTCGCTCTCTCTTTTCTATCGCCCATTATGATGCTGGTTTTATTATTCGATTAGCTAAAGGGGGATTCACACTGCGGAGGCCATGGTCCTCACGCCCAATTAGCACCTTACGGCTATGAAGGCTCGAGAGACGAAAAAAAGTTGTTCGGAAGGTGGGAACGGGGCTTTGAGGTTGCCCGATTTGCATACGAGGCTATTTGAATAGGGGGGATGAGGGGGAAAAGAGGCTCGCGCCCCACGAGAATAACTACCTCGGGCGGCGGGGTAATAAAATGCGGGGCCGGGTGGTGAGAATGAGCGAGGACGAGAGCAAAACATATGAATTTAAGGGGTAAGGAAGTTAATTTAGAAAAAAACTCGAAATTTTAGGTTCATTATCAAGAATCTCGGCTAGCTTGCCCTACCGAACAACTGAAATTGTCTAATTTTCAACGCCGGGCATCTGAGTAAAAATGACATTTGAAGGGATGAAACTCGCAGGCTTTTTAGCCGATTCCTTAGAATATATGCTAATATGCTTGCTAGCTTGCATTGCGTAAAAATTTAAAAAGTCTTAAAAACAGTTTTGTAGTTTTTATCGGCTTGGACGGATGCAAGACTGTAGAAGTCCGATTTTTACACATAATGAATCGTTTCCTAAAGATTCTTTGCTCGTTCATCCATTGATTTTGTAGCTGCTCTGGCTACAAAAATTCAAATTGTCTTTTCATTTATCAAATTGCAGCGGTCCGCACAACGTAAAATTATTCCTTAAAACGTAGCCGTAGTGCTGGTTGAATTCTTCTTATACTCCATATCGATAAGGGCCGACATCTACGAGAAATATATTAATAGGTAAAAATCTTGTTCAACTACCTTATCGGTCTCTGCATACGGTACAAATCGATCGCCCACCATTCGCAAGTAAGTCCGATTCCGCTGACAAGCCTATGAAAACTTGGGCTAAACCTTGAATTCAAATCTCACCCATTGAATCGAGTCCCTTGTTAAGTAGTAGTTGAAGACCTTCATCAAGTCCGGATGCACTAAAGATAAATACGTATATCGTTGCCTTCGAGATGGATATATTCGTGTACCATTAACTTACCAGCCTCAGTTTTAACTTGCTGGAAATCGAAGTTCTGCAAATACTGGCCCGGAGCTTTGCTGACTTGGCTGAAAATAAAGTCTAGCCTCCTAAGTTTAGGCTTAGACTTAGGCTTTTAGGCTTAGGCACAGGCTTACGCTTGAGATATTTTTTTCCAAAATCGTTTAGCTGTTTTTGAAAACCTAATTTTTTCAGAATTCCAAGCCAAATGGAATTCGCTAGGGGTCTCGAAAGTTTAAGGCAGAGCCCAAGCCTAAGTAGACCAAAACGCAAGCCTAACCCCAAGCCTGTTTAACTTACTAGAGTCCGTAAACACGCGGCATTCGCATTTCGACTCGGTGCGGTTGATCTGATTTCCGAGATAGCACCCAGGCCCTGGCTGCTTCGCCACGTCAGCAAATGTCAGGCAAAACACTTCGGAGGGCTGGCACACTCAAAAGGGTTTTTGATATTTAAAACGCTTTATATCATACTGAAAGCGCGTGTGTAAACTCACAGTAAATACGCAAGGTGTGGAAGTCGGTGTCGGTGAAGAAGAAGCGCTCATTCGGATGGATAGCGGTGTCATCGTACTGCTCTTTGACGCACCGGGTCGGTTCACTGATCGAGCAGTGCCGTGCTGGAATGGAAAATAAAAAATAGCACAAACTCCGTAGAAGCTTGACAAATCTAAACCCACCTTGAAACGCTGGGACCGTTATTACCAGCAAAAGCCAAGCGACAAAAACCAACATGCTTTGGCGACTTGGCAAGCGAATTCTTGTCCATTTTTTTCATATAAATACAGGTGGGATATATTTTGACGGCTAGGCTGTGTGGAGCTTTTAGCGCCGACCTCGAAGCCGAGGTATCGGGACAAATATTTTCAAGGGAGGACGTGTGCTCTCTGGACAACACATCTAACAAGACTATGGTTTTGGTTTGGACAAAATTTAAGGGTTTGCTTTGGACCAATCTTTTTCCCTATATATCGGCTTCTAATTTCAGCCAATTGCGGTTAAGTAAATTTCGAAAACAGATTCGATATCAGCGCAAAATTCTGCATAAGATAGGCTGGGTCCTGCTCAAAACGGCAATGTAACTTGAAAAGTCTCCGTGCTCGCTTATTAGAGTTTGTATATTTAACAAGTTTATTCCATTAAAACCGGACTTAAGGTGATGCTGTTGCGGCCGTGGTCGGATTCTGCGCATTTTCAGCATCGATGCGACGGAGGAGCTTATAATTGGGAGTTCCGCGGCTCCGCTCCGAACCTACCTGTTGAAAAGTGTGATCATCCGGGCGCTGCTGGTAAGAGAATTGCCGGCATGGGGGCTAAACGTCCAGAAAATTTCAGAAAGTGCAGATTTGAAGCTTACACCCGAGTGGCCCTCTGTTTTCTCGTACCAGTTGTAGACTTTCAGGAGATCGGGGTGCACTGAAAATTAAAAAAATCAATGGATGGGTATAGATTTTTCATTAACGGGACCCGGAAGCCCATCAATCGGCTCCTTCCATCCACTGGGTCTTGACAGTTACGCTCGACTTCCAAAGACGCCTGCAAATTGCGCTTGGTATCGCTACGTTACGGTCGGTTAGGAAGTTGTAAATAAAATTAAAAGAATTTGTGCTTCAATAAGTGTTTGTCGAGTGCCGGTAGGGGTCGATTCTAGCGCATCCTAGTCCCTTTAGCATGTAACGATTGACATCACCCACCTTTTTCAAGCAGCACTTCCTGAAAATCAAAGCTTGCAAGCCGTGCGCCCCAGAGTTGCGAGGTTTTATCTAAACCGAATTAAAATTTGCAACCCCCTAAAATTTTACGCGAGTTCGTGAAAACACGGCATTCGCATTCGGATTGCCTATCGATCTGGTTTCCGGAATAGCAGCCGGGCGCCGGTTGCTCCTTCACATCGGCAAATGTCAGGCAGAACACCTCATCGGGTCGGCACACTGAAAAATTATTATGGAGGATCATAAAGCGGATTCACAAAAATTCCAAAAAACTGACTGTACATGTGGAAATGGGCCAGGCCGTCGATGATTTCGGTAAAAAAGAAGCGATTGTTCGGTGGGACGATATTCGGGTCAACTTTTGAGCATTCTTCAGGTTGGCTGATTAAGCAGTGACGTCCTGAAGACAAGCTTACAGGGAGACGTTTTCTAGTGACAATCGAGTTTCTGTACCTGACCAAGCCTATCTTGTCAAAAATTTTGCGCTTGGTATAACTTTTTAAATCGTATCGTTTCTCAGATTTTGAAAACACGCTCGGAAACAGCGCAAAATTCTGCACAAGATAGGATTGGTCCCATACGGAAACTAGATTGTCTCTAAAAAACGTTTCCTTGTTAGTCGAGTCACGCCTTAAAGGGGCTTGTAAGCTCGAAAATGTATTTTTTTTGGCGATGGATTCAGGGTTTTTCCGCGCCCGCAACATGCAACGCATGCAAAGAATTGAGCTCACACCACACAGCGGCCCGCTCCTAATAAAGCAACCAGCGATGACGGCAATGCACCCTAAGGAACCACGGAAACATTACGATCGCTTAACTGCGGCTCAGAAACCCGTGCGTCGCTTGTCGCGGGTGAGGCCAAGAAGAAAATCCGTACCTAGTAATATCCACATAAGCCAAAAACCTACGATAGATCTCGCTGTAGACGCCGGCAAACACGCCGAGTGACAAAATAATTTCGACCAGCAAGCACTTCATCCTTTTTCGTGGTGGACGATGAATTGCAGCTCTAAAACGGCATTATAAATGCTCGCACTTTCCATATTTTGACGGCCGTTGACGGGATCGAAACATTATTGAGTCAGCTAATGGGGAAAGTGGGCCCAATATTTTTGAAAGAGTGCAGGGTTTAGGGCGCCAAAAACTTTTCTTTGTTTTTCGAGCGTCTTTGGATGGAATTCGACTTTATGCTGCTAGACTGGAGTTAGAGGAAAAAAAAAACAGAATTATTATAATTTTTATTAACCTATCCTTTTTGAAACTGATCGCCTGATACCTCGATTATTACGTTATTCAAGGTGCAACGGGTCAAATCCATTGTATATTTATTAATACAGTGCGAAAAATTTAAGGTTCCGGAGATAGACTGGTCGAGGCCAACGTCAAATTCGTGGCACTTTCCGCGTCGATGCGATCAATTAACTATAATTAATGGAAGTTAGATTTAAAGTATTTTCACCTCCTCAAACGAGATATCATCGTCGCGCCAAAACATCGCGAATCGCCAGCAGAGCGATTTCCGGAGACTTTGGCCGCGTGCTTCTTCTTGTTTTTGTTCGATGTTAAGGTGCCAATTCAGGAGTTTGATCAGATTTGGGTGCACTAAAATCTTCCGAGTTATGGGGTCTGAAGCAAGAAAGTGAAAGCGAGAGATAGCGAGATGGAGAAACAGAGAGAGAGAGAGAGAGAGAGAGAGAGAGAGAGAGAGAGTGAGAAAGAGCGAGAGAGGCAGTGTGACAGAGATCATCTCACCTTCATCAAGTAAAGCATCATCAAAATCGAAATTTTGAAGCCGGAGGCCCCATTGTTGGGTCGTTTTGTCTAAAAGACAAAAGAAAAAGTACTGAGGCGGTAACATCCTATCCTATAAGCGAGAAAAGTATGTGTGTTTTCTGTCCGGCGGTTTCTCGGCCTTAAGGCCGAATTTCCGGCTGATTTTTGGCATGGAGGTGGAGAAACACATTCGCCAAAAACGGTTTTTTTTGATTTTTCGAAATTCCTTAATTTAACGTTTTTACATGCGAAAATGTAAAAATCCTTAACAAATTGTGTTACGAGCCGCGTTGCACAGGTCATAACTCGAAGCCCTGATGGAATTTCGGGCTGTAATTTGTACAAAGTATGTATTCGATAGTGGGGATCACGCGCATCTGATTATCTTTACAGATTTTCAGCGGATTCAAACTCAAAAATGGAATTTTGTAAAGTGGCCAGAAGGCCTCTCGCACGGGGCATTGGGTCGGCCCTTTCGGTGCCTGTCCACCCCTCCCCAGGACGAAAGAGGCCCTCCCGCACATCCACATGCCCCGTGGTGTAGTGGATTAGCGCCCGGTCTACCACGCGCAAGGTCTCGAGTTCGTATCCTTGATGAAATTACCTTTTTGTTTTTTGGTAATTCAGCAACAAAACATATTTCTAGACTCTCGGTGTGCGCGGTTTAGGCATGGCTCTGGCTCTGGCGCCGCAGGCCAAGGAAAAGGCCCTTCGCGAGGGCTCTTGCGCCGCAGGCCAAAGAAAAAGCCCTTGACACATGCTCTCGCGCCGCAGGCTAAATTCGGAAAAAAGCAGCAGCTAGCGCCGCAGACTCAAAGATTAGCGCAACGCCGGCTCTGGCGCCGCAGGCCAAAGAATGGTCTGAATCAGGTTCTTGCACCGCAGGCAAAATGAAGCGATTCAAATTCATGGTCCTAGACGGGGTCCAGTGGAAAAGGGCCGCGAAGCGGACATTTTCCACTGGTTCAATAGAATAAAAATCACCCTACCTGAATTCGTGAAAACCTTGCATTCACATTGGGATGTGCGGGCGATCTGCATATCCATATAGCAGCCAGCTTTTGGTTGCTCCTTCACGTCGCTGAACGACCGGCAGAAGATGGTTCTCGGGTTGCACACTGTAATTCAATTTTTTACTTAAAGGAATTTTTAATTTTACCCAGAGCCGTATTTCCTGTCTTTTTCGTTGTGCATCAACTATAATCAACTATAATAATTTTGTTGTGGTCTCCGTCTGTCCGTGTGAAGCCGAATTCAACTCGAAGGGGAAAGGAGCTAGAGCTTAGCTCTCTTCGGATTCGGATAGAGCGCCGTCAGAAACCCCTAAACTGATAAAAAAAATTATGAAAAAGTTTTAGTTTAAATTATTAAAATTAACTTTGAAAGTGGTGCCTTAATAAAGTGAGTGGGGGCCCCTCTCCCGGGAGGCCACGCCCCCTTTCCCCTCGCCCCTCTTCGCCAGGCCCCTTCGCGCGCCAGATAGCGTTTTTAAGTTACTTTAATACTTTTTAATACTTTTTAATTATGTTAATTAATTATTTAAATCATCTAAAGCCATCGGGAAGGTATTTAGGTAGTTTTTGAAGGGGATTTCAGCAATCGGGAAGGTATTTAGGTAGTTTTTGAAGGGGATTTCAGCCATGGGGGGTATCTGAAGCCATCAGGAAGGTATTTAGGTAGTTTTTGAAGGGGATTTCAGCCATGGGGGGTATCTGAAGCCATCAGGAAGGTATTTAGGTAGTTTTTGAACGGAATTTTGGCTATGGGGGTATTGATGGAGGTGGGAAAGGATGTGGTGGAGTGGGACATATAGGGTAGCCCGAAGGCCAGATGGTTGCAGTCGCGAAGCGACTGTAACCATCTGGTAAAAAAGATGAGACGTCCGTCCGTCTGTCCGTGTGAAGCCGAATTCAACTCGAAGGGGAAAGGAGCTAGAGCTTAGCTCTCTTCGGATTCGGATAGAGCGTGGTCAGAAACCCCCAAACTGATAAAAAAATTATGAAAAAGTTTTAATTTAAATTATTAAAATTAACTTTGAAAGTGGTGCCTTAATAAAGTGAGTGGGGGCCCCTCTCCCGGGAGGCCACGCCCCCTTTCCCCTCGCCCCTCTTCGCCAGGCCCCTTCGCGCGCCAGATAGCGTTTTTAAGTTACTTTAATACTTTTTAATACTTTTTAATTATGTTAATTAATTATTAAATTATTTAAAGTATCTAAAGCCATCGGGAGGGTATTTAGGTAGTTTTTGACGGGGATTTCAGCCATGGGGGGTATCTGAAGCCATCAGGAAGGTATTTAAATAGTTTTGAAGGGGATTTCGGTTATCAGGGGGTTGAAGGAGGTAGGGAAGGATGTGGTGGAGTAGGACATGTAGGGTAGCCCGAAGGCCAGATGGTTGCAGTCGCGAAGCGACTGTAACCATCTGGTTTAAGAAGAAAAACATACTGTAGACGTCATGATTATCAAAGGCGATGATTTCTCGGAAAAAGAAGCGCTCCAATATCGGGATACCGGCCGTGTCGATTCTGTCGCAGCGCCACGGCTCGCTGATTGAGCAGTTTCGTTCTGGAATTATTCGGTAATTTAAAGGTAATTCTGGACTATTTTTAGCGATCTGCCCGTAATAGTATGAAAAGTAAATTTAAATACCTTTAGCAACAACCACCAAAGGCAGCAGGGCAAGGATTACGAAGCCGAACATCTTTTAGCTGGTAGAGAAGCCAATAGCCCACGTGATAGCTTGCCTATAAATTCTTTGTCCATATTTTGACGCTTTCAGCCGAATCGAAACATTCCTTAAGCGAATAATGGGAAAAGTGGAACAAATATTTTTCTAAAAGGGCAGGGTTCAGGACGCGAAAAATCTTTTATTTGTTTTTCCGGAGCGTCTTTCGCTGGAATTTGAAGCTAGAATAAAGCCTGCGGAATCAATATTTTGGAAGCTTCTTCAGGTTGTCGACCTTACAACGTCGGTCCCTTTAAAACATTTAGCTGCCATGTGAGATAAATTCCGATCAAGGACATTTTATTCAAATCCAGTAACAGAAATTAAGAAACATGATCGATCGTTGTCGTCGAATTTTTCTGGTGTTCCGCGTCGATCCGGGCGATACGCTAAATAGCAGATCTCGATATAGTTCAAGTCAAAAATTAGTTTTAAATATTCTCTACCTCCTCGAATGACAGCTCATCTTCGCGAAGGAACATGGCAAAGCGTTTGCATAGGGAATGCTCAAATTTTATGAAATTTTGGATTTAGTTTTGAAGAAGATTTACTTGAGCACTTACAATCGGTGGGTAGCTGTTGAGGTGCCAATTCAGGAGTTTGATCAGATTCGGGTGGACTGAGATGGATTTCTAGATATTATTTTAAAGTTCCACTACCTTCCTCAAGGAGCATCTCGTCAAGATCGAAATTCTGTAGTCGCACTCCCCAGAGCTGCGAGGTTTTGTCTAAAAAAATCGGTCCCAATCGAAACGAACTTGAAACCCACTCGAATTTGTGAAAACACGGCATTCACATCCGGTCGGCCGACCGATTTGCGTGTCCTCGTAGCAACCGGCTTTTGGCTGATCCTTCACATCGGCAAAAGACCGACAGAAAACGGCTCCGGATTTGCACACTACAACAAATTTTTTTAATTCCTGACTAGCGCTATCTCTCTCTCTCTCTCTCTCTCTCTCTCTCTCTCTTCCTACTCTCACTCTCTCTCTCACTCTCTCGCCTTCTCTCTCACTCTCTTACTCTCTCACTCCCCTCTCTCTCATTCTCGCTCCCTTTTCTCCTCTCTCTCACTCTCTATCTCTCAAATCAATTTCTCAAATTTATTATTCTTCATTTATCTTGATAAACGTACTGTAAGCATCATGATTGAAGCCTAAGATGGTGACCACCCGAAAGAAGAAGCGCTCTTTAGCAAGGCCAAACGTATCGATCTTATCACATCGCCACGGCTCGCTGATCGAGCAGTTTCGCTCTGAAATTACCTGCTTTCGACAATCGCTGTATATCATACCTTCCCTCTGACCTTGAGCGAGAGCAATTAGCGGCAAGAAGACCGTAATCGCAAAAACGTTCATTTTTGCGCGTCAAGATAATGTGAATTTGGTCCGCGACACTTTAGCATAAATGCAATTGTATATTTTGACGGCCCATACCAAATCTAAACATTTTTGAAGTCGCTAATGGGAAAGATGGGACAAATATTATTGAAAAGGCAGCAACTTTGTCGCCGAAAATGTTTGGTTTTGTGGGGGCTTTTGGTGGAATCTCGGATAGTTTATGGTACACCATTCAGCGAAAAAGCATATTTGAAAATTTTCGTTTGCTTTCCGGGCCGATACAGCTTTTTTAAGGCATCCATACAATACAGCGCATCTTACAAATTACTTTTTGAAAGATACGACTAGATTTTTGGCTATTTTGTGAATTTTAATCTTTTTCTGTTTTTTTTGCGGTTGCAAAGCTCGACGTGTAAAAGGTTAGTTTTATGCTGGCAGGGTTCATAAAGCAAAGTAGCCACAGTCAAATACATCGGCGAAAGAAATACAATTCGATTTAGAAGACTCCAGCTAGCACCATGGCGCCAATTCCGGCGAGCGTGAAAAACAGGGGCGAGCCGCTGTTCGTCTTCTCCTCTAGGATCTCGGCGAGCTGAAAATAGAAAAGATGCTCAGGTCAGAAAATAGGAAACTAAGTAGCTGTTAGCAAAAGCTTACATCCGCCGGCATGTCAGCGGGTCGCTGGAAATCGGCAGCCGAGCAGCCGTTACTGTTCTGAAAATGATTTTGTATTAGCGAGAAGTGTGCTGAACGCTCACCTGAATAGTCTTCATGTAGTAGCTCAAGACGTTGTTCAGTTTGGGGGATACTAGACAATGTATTAATGTCGATAGAAACTATGTAAAAATCTGGATAGTGCTAATTAGATGGTAAGAAGCTACGAGACGCTCCGCTTGAGTTACGTGGGTACATGGCTTGTGCCTGCTTAGCCTGCTTACAAGGAGACGTTTTTAGGTGGGCACGGAGTTTCGTAACGAGACCTAGCTCATTCGAAAGCGCTTGAAAAACCGAGCAAGATCCCGTTTTCCATTTCTGGCAAACGATAGCGATTGATTTTTAATAATTAAATTAAAGAATTAGCAGAAATTGGCATGATTCCCCTCGCGCGGAGCGATTTCCTTCCAAGGTCCCCTCTGTCGGAAAGCAGGCCCCGTCTTCCCTTCCCCATAGCTATTTGGCGCAGTCGGTACGGCGTTTGCCTCCCACGAAATTTTTTTGGACTTTTTGTCGGTTCGACCCCTAGGCCCAGAATTCGTTTTGCTTTTTAATTCCCGAACACTTTCTAAACGTGGAGTCTAGTCAAAAATTAATTTTTTTTGTGGTATGCCCCAAACCGGTAGCGTTGCACTCGCGTCTCAGGGATTGAAATCAACTGCCCCGCTTGCGCCTACACCGATGCTGTTCAGAACATTTATGTAACGCATTGCGATAATTAAATTAAAATAAATAATAAATTCAGCCTCCTAAAATAAAAAGCAAAACGGATTTTGGGCTCAGGGGTCGAACTGACAAAAAGTTCAAAAAAATTTCGTGAGAGGCAAACGCCGTACCGACTGCGCCAAATCGCTATGGGGAAGGGAAGACGGGGCCTGGCTTTCCGACAGAGGGGATTTTGGAAGGAAATCGCTCCGCGCGAGGGGAATCATGCCAATTTCTGCTAATTCTTTAATTTAATTATTAAAAATCAATCGCTATCGTTTCGCAGAAGTGGAAAACAGGATCTTGCTCAGTTTTTCAAGCTCTTTCGAATGAGCTAGGTCTCGGTACGAAACTCCGTGCCCACCTAAAAACGTCTCCTTGTTAGCCCCTACGAAACTTTAAACATTCTCAGCGAAAGCGAGGCTTCAACTTAGTCCAAGTGGAAGCTTATCCTAGCCGGAATTGCGCTGGAATAGGGGGTTATATAGGCTTAGCTGCCAACCATTTTCATTTGGCTTTAGCTCAGCCCAGGCTTCCTTTTATGAAGCTGATCTCAGGCTTAGGCTTGGCTTAGCTTTTCCAAAAGGTTCAATTCGAAAAACACGGAGTTTCCAGAGCCCTATAGCCGAATTCCAAACCGCGCCCCGCACCCGCAAATGCATTAGTGCCAGCCATACCCATAGAAAAATCCAAATCTTTGCGTTTTACGGTCTTCAAAATACATACCTTCCTCCTTAAAGTTTTCGTTGATGTACTTGGCGGCCCTTGCTGGATCCGCCGTCTGGGTTTTCTCTTAAATTTGACTCTACAACAATGAATCCATCAACAAACCGGTATCCGTAACGACGGTGCAGCCGCATACGCCTGTGGCGCGCTTCACGCCGGCGGCTGCGTAGCACCCAGCCTTCACCGCGCCTTTACCGTTCGTGAAGGACTGGCAGAAAGATTGGCCGTTCGCGCAAGCTAAAGTCGTCTTATGGGTACGATACTGAGAAGTACTTAGAAATCCGCTCCTAAGCGGTAGCTTTTGAGATGCTAGGCTAGACTTTCCGCAGCCGGACAATTTCTCATACAAAAGGAAATTTTTGACAGATGGTTCGCGGCGACGGCCAGAATTAAGCGTCTACGAAGGTTTTAGATAAAATCAGTGTTTGCCGTCCGCTTTTAACTGACCGTAGACGTGTCGTGTCTGCGCAATGTTCAGCTCCCGGAAATATATGGCATCGGTTTCGACATCGGTGAGCTTGCTATCCACGCATTTATTTGGCTCGCTGATCGAGCAGATTCTGTCTAAATGTTGACAGTTGATGCCATGCATCAGGGAATACTAACGAAAAACTTCTTGTAAAAATTAAACTTGAGGTAGCCAGGATTAGGCCAACGCCTGCTTTGATATAGAGTAAAATTTTAAAGTGGTTTCGCGTAAGTAATGTCCTTAATTTTCTAGAATTAAAGGGGTGCTCAAGGCACCATACATTCAAATGTCTTGATTTCTGATTGACTACGAAAACTTCTGAGCAACGCGGAACCGCACGTTTTCCGAGGCGGAATAATATTTTTTATGACATTTTGACGCTAATCCTTCCTCCCAATGTTTGTTAACGCCTACTTCCAAATCAGTAAGGTTTCTCCTTTTTGCTTAAGCTATTCAGCAGAAAGTCACAGCAATCCACATAAGAAATAAAAAAGTACCCTCAAAATAAAAAAACACCCAAATCAAAGTTCTTACCGGCAGCACCCTCAACCCCAACAATAGCCATCAACAAAGAAATAGCCAAAAAGCCCATTTTTACGGTTTTAGCGGGAATTGTGAGAATACACTGCTTCAACCCTCCGAACCGGAGTATAAATGCTGGCGCGTTTTTATTTTGACTATACAAGAGCGCGTCAGCGCTTTCACCTCTTTTGACTCACTCAACCAGTGGGGAAATCGACCCACCCCCCAAAACCACAAAATAGTCAAATGTTTTTCTTTGGGGGTGAAAAGACACGCTTTCTGGCAGGCTACAGAAACAAAATTGACGAATTCCGGGGGGGGCAACGCTATTCTGTTTGTCTCGTGATTTGCGAAAAAAGCATCAAACTTACAGCCGAAACAATGCACTTTCAATGGGGTTGACGACACTTGTTGGAGACGTTTTTCCGATGTGTCCTTTAGGTGTAAATAGCTGCCGTCGACAAATAGCTTCTACGAATTTTGTTGGTTTTTCCTTAAATTCCGCTTTTAAAAACTTGTCTTCGACATAAAAACGATGCTGCGCCGGCGATACTATAGCCACGCAGGCTAGAAAACCCAATTTTCACATCGCTAAATGGACAAAAACCACTTTTGGAACGAAGAACGTTGTAGTTTATAGCCAAAGTGACATGAAGGCATCAAAGCCAAAAGCTCGCTAAAGCAACTAAAGCGCGCGATCTCTGGACAGCGAGAGAAAGTGAGCGAGAGTCTGAGAGTAAGGAGAGCAAGAGAGCAAAAGACAGAAATAGAGAGAGAGGGGAGAGAGAGAGAGAGAGAGAGAGAATGAGAGAGAGATATATAAAGAAAGAAGCAGAATATGGACTTCCACTCTACCGTTGCAAAGCACCAGACTGGTTCAAAAAATCGCTGGGTACGTTAGCGTACGGAAGTGTTCATTCCTAACATCTTTCCTTGTACAGGATCGGGGAAATGCCAAGTTTGACCCCTACTTAAGGCTTGGTATGGATCGCCAGTACCACACTAAATCGTACTGGTGTATTCGGACTCTTGCTGCGCTGGTTTCAAAAAACCAGCGCCGTCACTTGGAGCGACACGCAGCTGTCTAGACCTTTTTGACGCTTGTTTTAATTCAGACGTTGAACAAATCTCTTTTAGCTGGAGGCACGGTAATTTTGGTTCAATCAAATGTCGGTTTTTGTAATTTCCAAACTCAGAACTTTTCCTTGGTTTGGGAAGTCTACCGTAGCTATTCTTCCCTTCCTAAAGTGTGTATATTTTCCTGGCGGTTGAGGGTGTCAATTGGTCTTGGGGCGGATTAATCCCTTGTCCTCCGGAAGCTTGTGGAATGTTTGGAATGGGCAGACACAAGCTGTGGCTGGTTGCTCACCCCCCCGTTTTTCGCGCCCCCAGCATACACCAAATTTGGTAAACTATTTATTCCGGGGAAGTACACACACAGAGAGAACATGGGAAATTTTCGCATGGGGACCAGTCTAAACCAAATTTTATCAGACAGAGAAATACAAAGAAAAACGTGACCCAAAACGTGAACTGTTTACTACATTCTAATACCCGTAATTTTTGAGATAGAGAGCATCATAGGAATTGAGTAAGTACAAGGCCAGGGAGGACTATGAACTAAAAAGTACAAAAAAAATATTAAAAACGCTGAAAGTTACGTTAAAATTAAAGTTAAGCTGGTTTTTCAATAAATTAAGATCCCGAAATTCGAGGTTAAAGGAGTGGGCATAGCTTGGTTATGGATTTCGCTGGCCATAGATTCGTAAAATCAATCCTTGCCGGTCCCTTTAAATGAAGTATCACATTTTCGATGTAAAATTGAGGGTTAAAGGGGCCAGGAAGGGCTGGAATCGACCCATACTGTCCGCTAGGTCTCGACGGGTGATCAGGTACTAAATGACGCATAAGCTTAGGTTCAATTAATCAAACGTAGCTTTTACGTCATTTTCCGTAGCTGGTAGACCTAGTGGATGTCAGGGGTAGAGTCCAGCACTTCTTTGCACCTTTAAAGGTACCAGGAAGCGATAGAATCTCCCCCTAGCTTGGACTGGGTGTCGACAGCTACATTAAAATCTGCATGACGTAACTAGCGACAGGCAACAACTTTCATAACAAATAATATTTGTCGAGAGCTAGTCCATAACAGGGGTCGATTTTCCCACTTACTAGTTCCTTTAAAAAGCTTAAAACAACAAGGTTAAATTAGACATTGCTAATCTCGGAATTCTCCTCCTGCGGATGGGAATCCGTGCTGATGCGGGCTGTCGGTATCAAGTAACCATAATTCTCGGTGGCAATCTCCAGAATTCCGCCGAATTTTCTGCCCAGATCAGTGAAGGTTGGTCGTTTGTCGGCCTCGAGGTGCCAGCAAGCCATGAGAATCGTCCATCTGGTAAGCAAAGGTATATAGATCCATTAAAAATTCCAAGAATTTCTTGAAAAGACCAAAAATATCTCATTCGATTGGACTAGGTAATTAGCTATTTTAGTGCCACATCTATTAATGCACTAGCATCAGATCGGGAAGCGGTATCACGGCTCGCTTTAATTTCGTAGGGTATTCGGTTACGCTGTCTAATTCTATGTTTTTATGCAGCCTATCAAGGCCTGTTAAGGCTATATACTACACGATTTTTATTTGATTCTATAGCGTAACCCGTTAAGCGTAAGGAGTTATAGGAATTACACTCCATCAAAAAATGCTAAATCTTACACTTCATCCGTACAGAACGCCGGCCGATCCGGACGATTTCCCGCTCGGATGTAGAGGAGCAAATCGGTGGTCTGGACCCCGGCGAACGGGACTTCACCAAGGGAGAATAACTCCCATAATAGGATACCGTAGGACCATCTGAAAAATAAGGAATAAGAAGATGAGAGAGAGAGAGAGAGAGAGAGAGAGAGAGAGAGAGAGAGAGAAAGGGGAGAAAGGGAGAGAAAACTCACACATCACTCTTGAAGGAATATTCAAATGTCGACAAGCTTTCCGGGGCCATCCATTTTAACGGTAGTCTTCCTCCTCTAGCTGTGTAGAGCAAGGAATCCGTCAGCCGACAAAGTCCGAAGTCGCCGATCTATAATCAAAGCGTAATAATTTGCAAAATAATTGATATTGAAAAGTTCAAACCAGCAAATATGAAATTTGATAAAATGCTTTGCAATAGTATATTATTATCGGTAGTGTATTATTAAACCAACCTTGCAAACATGATTATCAGCCACGAGCACATTCCTGGCGGCGACATCTCGATGGATGCAGCCGACACTGTTCAGATACTCGAGGCCCTGGGCGATTTGCCAGGCAAATGAAACGATCTCCTTGATCGTGACGCCGCTGGCATTGTCGACACCCTAAAAAAAGTTTTGATCATCTTCGAGGTTAGTAGATTGTTGTTTGCTATCATGCTCCTCTTAAAATAGGAGTAATAATCATCCGCCAATTAAATCTCTTTAGAAACACTTACACTTCTGATAAGCTCCTTCCTCTCCCTGATGTAATGCAGCAGATCACCATGCCCGCAAAATTCGACGACCAGCATCGGGGATCTTCTGTCGGAAACGAAGCCAAGCATCGACACCAAGTGCTGGTGGTAGCGGAGGGATTTCATGAAGTTGATTTCCTAAAAAAACGGCGATAAATTGGATTTTAAATCGACCAAACATAAATTTGCCCTTTCTCGGCTAGGTCTCGAAAACTACGCGGCTTTCCAAAAGACGTGTTGCTAATTTCCAACCGTCATTTGAAGCGCCGCGTAGTTGCCAAGATCTAGCCAATGAAAGTGGTCGATTTTCGCTTTTTCTATCGCATTTAAAAGATCCAAAGGGTCAAAAAATTGTTACGCTGAGGTACTGGTAATCAAGAGACCAAGGCATCCTCAATTTTATTAAATTCGTCTCGATGAAAATTCAATTAAGTTTAAATTTATAGAAAACACAATCTGCCTCAATTTCAAGCTAATTTAAGCCCTTACCTGCATAAAATCACTCCTCGCAATGTCATCAGCAAACGAGGGCAGCATTTTCACAGCTACTTCGCAGTCCCGGAAGCCATTCGTACGTAAAGATGGCTGGAGCGTCACCACTGGAGCTTCACCGACGATCCGACCTGCAACAAGGTATCACTTTCCACTTAATACATTCCCATCGATTTTTTGGGGTCCAGCTAACGATTTGCTTATGGCAAATGTACATACCTTTGAAAACATTGCAAAACGCTCCACTGCCCAGTTTGTTCTCATAATCAATGATGAGGTTACTTCTCGGCATCTCCCAGGGGTCAAGGTTTCCGGATAAACTACAACTTTTGGATACGCTTAGAGAAGTAGGGTAAAAGATACCTAGAAGTCGTAGGACTATGATGTTGCTGCCAGTGGCGGTAGTCATTTTCTCCTTTGGCCATCGGGAATGGAAGAATGGTGCTAAAACGTCAATTAAGAAAAGTTCAGAGATGTTTTTAAGTTGATTTCTGGTTATAGAGCCCGTAAAGCATGCCGGATAACAAAAATCGTAGATAAAAACGGTTTCTGGAAGGCGAAATTGACCAATTTAATGCATTCTATAAAAATGAGGTTGTGACACATCATCGACCGACACCTTTTCAATCATTAAAACGAACCTGAGACCGCGCTTCTTCTTCCGGACGTACCAAAAGCATCCGAAACCGATCAAACATAATAGTATCAATCCCATTACACCCATCGCGATACCGAGACCGATCCAGAGGCCGTCTGAAAGTTTTCAAATTTGGTTTAGCCGAGCGAGAGAGAGAGAGAGAGAGAGAGAGAGAGAGAGAGAGATGGGAAGAGAGCGAAAGAGAGCGAGCTCGTAGAACCCACTATTTGCCTTCGGTTTATCGTGTTCTTGATACCAATCAGGTGTGGTATATTCTTCATCATCCCTCTTGTAGTAATTCGGGTCATACTGGTAAGGCGGTCGTGTGGTAGGAGGTGGCATCGGACCGTACGGGTTTTGACTGGAAACAGGCTGAACTTGAAAACCGATAAAATATGTTGCGTTTTAAAGGGAGCTTAAACCAAGAAAACCCTGTAACGTACCCGTAATTGTAAT